TCAGTTTGGAAAGCTTGACATATTGGTAACTCTTTTGATCTCTCTCTCTCTCTCTCTCTCTCTATGCATCTTCTTGTGGAAATTGTATGTTATCTTTTCTTCTCATCAGTTTATTTTTCTTAACCACTTATAACAGAAATGTGTGTTTTTTTATTTTTATATAAATATATTGCAGGTCAATAATGCAGGAGTTATTGGATCTTTATTCCTCACTGATGACAAAGAGAAGTTGGCAATTGGGCCTGAGGATGTAAGTCAATAAAATTCAGATATTTCTTTAGACAAAAAAAACTAAAACTCAATCTGTATCAAGCTAAGCTAACCCTTATGATATATATTTGATGTACTTGCATCACTTACTAATGAATATATCATTGACAAGAACAAATACCGATGCAGCTTATAGGTCCCAATTGTATCAAGAATGAATATGTAAAGCAAACCTATGAGACAGCAGGGGATTGCTTCAAAACAAACTACTATGGAATTAAGCAGCTCACAAAAGCACTTATTCCACTTCTTAAAAAATCCAACTCGGCAAGGGTAGTCAATGTCTCCTCTGCATTGGGACAACTAAGGGTACACAACCGAACCCGAATCATAAATCTAAATACAACATTATGTTATGTTGTTAGACTGATATAAACGTATTGGTTTATTGATTTTTAGGTTATTCCAAATGTGGAAGCCAAGAAGGAGCTAGGAGACGGTGATAGCCTCACAGAAGAGAAAGTGGACAACTTAGTTGAGGGATTTTTGGAGGATGTGAAGCACAATTTGATTGAAGCCAAAAGCTGGCCTATTAATCTATCTGCCTACATTGTATCCAAAGCAGCTCTGAATGCTTATACCAGAGTCTTGGCTAAAAAGTATCCTAGCATTGCCATTAACGCAGTCTGTCCTGGTTTTACCGCCACAGACATGAACAATTATACCGGTATCCTCACAGCTGAAGAAGCTGCTAAAGGTCCGGTGAAGGCGGCTTTGTTGCCGGATATTAGAGTTTCTGGCCGCTACTTTGAACAGACTGAATTGTCAACCTTTGAATGAAAATTTGTGATGTAAAATGACATAATTGTTTGCTTTTAATATACCTATGCACATGTGACATGTACGTATGCATGCACAATGTGTTTTGAACAATAAATTTTAGTTTTAATAAAGGTTTCAATTTCCAGATCTCGTCTCTTATTT